TGTTCAGAAGTACAAAAAGAACTGAGTTCTCACTTTTGCTACACTCTTTTGCGTGAATAATTGCTGAAGAAAAAAGTCAAGTCGAAAAAATACCAACTATACAAAGTTTTCATTTTTTTCGCCTTTCATATAATTTACGTAGTTTCCTTGATTAAAGTTCTAAAATTAAAGTTTAGGTATGATTTTGTAGAATATTTCGTGGCGCATCTTTAAAAAAAACACTAACCGCGAGATCCTGAACGTACACGAGAAAAATAGAAAATACTGAGAGGCTCATTCATTATGATGATGAGATACTTGATTAAAATATAAAATTGTATCTCAGTTGAGTCCAAACAAATATGACGTTGAATTTGAGAAAAAATTGAAATTTGATGGCGAAAACTGCAAAATATGAGTGCATTTCATTTTCTGCACAGTCGATTCTTTAGCTCGTACGCACCCGTCCTTTTGAGCAGTACTGTAGCTTTTGACCAAAAATGATTCCCTTTCTCTCTTCATGCAAACTACTGTTGTATACAAATTGTCTTTTCGTTCATTCTTCAAATAAATACTTGTGATATACTGTATGATGTTAAATTATTATGAGATACTAACACTTATTGTTCTTAACGAAGGATTCAGATTAAATTGTCGGCTCTTCTGGTGAAAATTCCAGACAGTGGTTCAATATTATTTCAAAACAAATTACAGCATCAGAAAGAGGACATTTTCATTAAAACCCTGATTTTATATAATTTCCTTTGTCTTTCAAAATGTGACGTGCTCACGACGGGGAGCACCATGTTCATGAAGTCTTTTCGAAGCTTGTTGAATTGTTTTTCTATATAAATACCATCACAGTGCAGTGAAATGTGCACATATGCAGCTGTTCTATGTATATAATTATGGTGTTCGCCTAATTTTTTAACTGGATAGAAAGACTAATCGGAAAAAGTATGAAAAGAGAACGGAATTTGGACTGAATGGAGAACGGAGTGCGCATTATTAAATTTTTACGCTGTTTAGAGAACGGGACTGAAAAGAGAATGGTTTTCGAATTTTTTCTAGAAGACTGAAAAGAAAACAGTATTGAAAGATAGTTTTTCACTGTATGTGTGCAGTTCTAAAGTAGAATTTTTCATACGCACACTTCTTCATATTTCATCTTCATATTTTCATAATTCAATCATTTTTAGATGTAGTATGAATCTGCTCACATAGTTTTGATTCAACAAAACTTTTGTTCGTGCGGATTCTTTTGCAAAGAATACATTTGTAAACATACAGTTGGACTTGCAGTTGCTTTTGGTTATCATGTAATTTCAAAAGATGGTAGGCCTTTAGGACTAAAAAAATCTAGTCTTGTTCATTTTATTGAAATATCATATATATTTGCATTTTTTTGTACAATATTTTTTTGCACGTAATGCAAAGATGTATATAGATCATAATTCACTATTCGAACGCCCGTTCTCTTTTCAGTCCTTTAAATTCGAAATTCTGAACCATTCTCTTTTCAGCACTAATTCCGTTCTCTTTTCAGTTTTTTCATTTTATAATTCTGACCGTTCTCTAATCACTTCAAATTTGATCATAAATAGGCACCCATTCTCTTTTTAGTCCTAATTGCGTTTTCTAAAAAATCCTTTGAGTCTGTCCTTGAGTATGTCAGTTTGAAGAGAACACCTGATTACATATATCCTTCAGTTTTTTCGATCAACTCATAACTATTCACAGAGTTATTAATTAATTAAGTTTAAAGTTGAATTAAAATTTACAGTTCTAGTCCTGATTTTAGAAAACGTGTAGCTCAGTCAAAAATAATCGTCGAAAAGGCATTCATGCATTGCTTGATAGCCAATGGACTGTTGTTATGGTCTGATGAAAAAGTTTTAAAAAAAAGTTTAAGAAAAGCTTTTTTAAGACCTAGTTTATAATTAATCAATGTCAATGAATACTAATTAATATCATTCTCATCCCTTACGCTTTTATTTGCAAATTAACGATTTATTGAAAATTGTGAAGTAATACGTTATTGGACAGAGATTTCCAAGCGCTACAAATCTCTGCACTTGCCTTTTCAAAATCTTACCGATAAGCAGTTATTTGTACTCGGTTTTAGGCAAACGGGATTTCTACTATTGATTTCTGAATAGAGTGACCATGGATGTATTTTGAATAACTCGAGAACGAAAAATAATAGAGAGTTCGAGTTTTCAGCATTTTGTAGAGAAGGCTTTACTCTATCTTCACGTATACTTTCTATTAAAAATCTCATTTTACAGGTGGTGTACCCATCGAATGACAGTCGATAAGGTTGCCAGATTCTGAACTTATGATGGATTTTTTAATTATAACATTGTGACTAGATAGCCCAAAGTGTTCTCTACATTTCTGAGCAAGGCCGACCTCTCTATCTATTGTGATTCTCGAATGGCAGGCATTTTCCCGAGTCACCTGTAATTTGTTACCATTCTGTTGAGTAAATGCCTACCATTCGAGAATCATAACAAATGGTACGAGTCCTAACATCACCTTCTATAGCGTCCTTTAGGAATCTTACGATCTCCTATTCTAAACTGATAGGATCTTATTGTAGGATCCTGTGAGAAAAGATCCTACAATAAGATCCTACATCCTACTCCTGTGATCAGAATCCTGTAACAATCCTATAGTGTTAGTCCAATGTCGTTAAAGGATCATTATACACAAAATATTCTTTAGAAAAAAATAATTTAGAATCCAAAAGTTTGTTTGGTTTGAGATGCTTCATTTTTATCCTAAGAAAGAAAAGTCTTCCAGAATGGACTTCTGATTCAGATGCTAACCGTCAGTTATACGATGCAATATTATGCTGCAATATTCCACAAACTGAATATATTTTAATCTCGCTCATTTGTATTCGTGAACTATTTTAAACAATCAAAATATACAGATAAAAATCTATAGTTAATAAAATTATTTTATATTTTTGCGTGCCTTGGTCGTTTTATCAGCTACTGTTTTTTTCACTTGATTATGATCCATATAACTTCCAAATAGACGATCAAAATCGATTAATTCCGTTCCATAATTACATTCAAATTTAGCATGATGTAAATAATGAAAACTACTATCCCCACCTGGATCAGCGTATCCATCGTGACCGGCAATCGGTGAGATATCAGCATGAAACTTCGCGTACAAAAAATGTAATGGATGACATGATAGGACTAATGGAAAATAGGCACATGAATAATAGAAAAAATGTTCAACAGGATGCATTGAGAGACCACTCCATGGACCGGGATTATAACTTTTATGATGAAGACTGTGAACATGTCGATAAAGAAACGCACCCACATCACCATCACGCAAACCATACTTAATATTCCACCAGGGATGCATTAGTCGATGAACCCAATAGAAATGAAATTCACGCCAATAAGTGACAAGTAGAAATAGAAACACAGAGTAGCCTGGATATGCCCAAAAATTAGTGTAATACGGAATTTTATTATTAGCCCATAACCACATCATTATACATTGAAGCATTGATGATTGTAGCCATCCAAGTGTGTTAAATATGACTTCACGTTGAAGATGACCGGTGGATGAGAAAAACAGACCGGCTCTTCCATTTGGTTCATACTGATTTATCGAATTGAATTTCTTTTCTTTCAGTTTGCCTTCAGCGTACACACTCGCATATGTCATGTAATGCCAGAATGTGTACAAAATAAATTCACATGCCAAATTAAAAGAGATCACTTTAGATATCCAACCAAGACGCCATTCAACCGCATCAGGAAATGTTTTTGGAAATAGAAATAGCCAACAGAGTACTGATACTATTATTTCGAGAAGGTGAGAAACGTGACATCCAATGACATAATCATAAAATTTTTGTTGCCATCGAGGCCACTCATTGTATCGATGAAGAATAAGAGTATTGGATCCCTTTTCGGCTGTGCCATTATGTAACCGATGAATACCAACAATATTACGAAGACCAAATGTCATCTTATCAGGACAGAACAATCGGGTGTCAAAAGGGTCTTTTTGTTTTTATACTTTATTATGAAACTCTTTTATATCCTACACTTTATGAAACACGAGTGTCACAACAAGAATATCAACCTATTTTCTCGTTCTTATATATCTATTAAATTTTTCATTGATATGAAAGAACAAGAATGCTTGTGAGAAAAAGAGTATGCAGTAAACAATCGAGGCATACATTTTCTTTTCACGTGTTTGCCTGTTAGATTATCTCTGTTTATCAACCATGTTAAAATTCATTTCTAAGAGCTAGGTAAAACCGAACTGTTAGACCAAGGACTCCGATATAAAAATATATAAAGGTAAACGCACGGGAGCAAATATCGCTTTAAAGAGTCATAATCGTGGAATATGGACTCATCATATATATTTTCTTATCCACAAAAAATTATATAGAAAGAACAAAATCGATTCGATTTGAGAATAAACAATGTAATGGTGCAGTTAGTTCGGAAAACTATCGACGAAAAACATACATGAGATATTATGCTATGTTTAATTGTTTGCATTTCCTACTGGACAGTATATTCCTACCCATGTGAATATTTGGGTTTGAAAAATCGCGTCCAGAATAAAACATCTGGATACACCGAAACGCGTTTGGTTACAAATGTGTCCCAGGCACGTTTCGATGAGTCCAGATGTCTCATTTTGGACGCGCGTTCAAGCGCATCTGCCAGCAACGCTAAACACGTTTCAACCTTTTAAAACTTTTTGCATGAATAATTCGACTCACCGCATTTGCTACTAACTCATCGAAGCCTATTTTTATATCGTATTGTTTTCCGTATAGATGACATCCCTTGCGAATGCACTCAAACATGAGTACTCATCTAAGTACCCACGAGGAATAGAAAATTTTTTTTTGGAAATGCTTAGTGTTTTTCTGCCAGATGGAAGTGCAAAACAAAATGGTGAATGGAAAAGTCATAAGTACGCATGTGAAGACTTTCAGTTCATGAGTACTCATTTGAGTACTTAACAAGTAAATGTACTAAAAAGAATTCGTTAGCACTCCTTTAAGTATTCGGGTACAAGTTCTGAGTTGTTGAGAACTTACTACATGATTACATTCACTAAGGTTAGGAGTAAAACTAAGAATCCGTGTTTTATATTAGCTGATGATAATAGATTGTCTGCTCGCTTCATTCTCTAATTAACGGATGGTCTTGATTTAATTAGATAGTCGGCTCTTTCTGTTTTGCTATAAAAGTATAAAGAAACAGTGTAGAAATAAATCCCACGTCATTGGATAGCGCTTGAAAAGAACTATCGTTCCGTGTATAAACCATTTTATGGAATAATTCTGTTTTGAGATGGGCAAAATTTTGAGTAGGACGATCAATGAGTTAACCCTTTGGCTCCCGGTGACGTATAAATACGTCTAGTTGCAATTATTGCATGATCATAATAGCTAGAATAAATTTGAAAAAAGATTTGAATAGCTGAAAGAATTTCCGATCTCAGGTGGTGTA